TCTAACAACACATTAAAAGGATCAAACACCATGATCAAGTGGCATTTATCCCAGGGATGCAAGGCATCTTCAATATACGCAAATCAATCAATGTGATACACCATTTTAACAAACTGAAGAATAAAAACCATATGATCATCTCAATAGATGCAGAAAAAGCTTTTGACAAAATTCAACACCATTTATGATAAAAACTCTCCCGAAAGTGGGCATAGAGGCAACCTACCTCAACATCATTAAGGCCATATATGACAAACCCACATCAAACATCATTCTCAATGGTGAAAAACTGAAAGCATTTCCTCTAAGATCAGGAACATGACAAGGATGGCCACTCTTGTCACTATTATTCAACATAGTTTTGGAAGTCCTAGCCACAGCAATCAGAGAAGAAAAAGAAATAAAAGGAATACAAACTGGAAAAGAAGTAAAACTGTCACTGTTTGCAGGTGACATGATACTATACATAGAGAATCCTAAAGATGCCACCAGAAAACTACTAGAGCTAATCAATGAATTTGGTAAAGTTGCAAGATACAAGAGTAATGCACAGAAATCTCTTGCATTTTTATACACTATCAACGAAAGCTCAGAAAGAGAAATTAAAGAAACAGTCCCATTCACCACTGCAACAAAAAGAATAAAATACCTAGGAATAAACCTACCTAAGAAGGTAAAAGACCTGCACTCAGAAACTGCAAGACACTGATGAAAGAAATCAAAGATGACACAAACAGATGGACAGATACACCATGTTCTTGGATTGGAAGAATCAATATTGTGAAGAAGACTATACTACTCAAAGCAATCTACAGATTCAATGCAATTCCTATCAAATTACCAGTGGCATCTTTTACAGAACTAGAACAAAAAATCTTAAAATCTGTATGGAGACACAAAAGACCCTGAATAGCCAAAGTAGTCTTGAGGGAAAAAAACAGAGCTGGAGGAATCAGACTCCCTGACTTCAAACTATACTACAAAGCTACAGTAATCAAGACAATATGGTACTGGCACAAAAACAGAAATATAGATCAATGGAACAGGATAGAAAGCCCAGAGATAAACCCACACACCAATGGTCAACTAATCTATGACAAAGGAGGCAAGGATATACAATAAAGAAAAGACAGTCTCTTCAATAAGTGGTGCTGGGAAAAGTGGACAGCTACATGTAAAAGAATGAAATGAGAACACTCCCTAACACCATACACAAAAATAAACTCAAAATGGATTAGAGACCTAAATGTAAGACTGGACACTATAAAACTCTTAGAGGAAAACAGGAAGAACACTGACATAAATCACAGCAAGATCTTTTCAGATCCACCTCCTAGAGTAAAGGAAATAAAAATAAACAAATGGGACCTTATGAAACTTAAAAGCTTTTGCAAAGCAAAGGAAACAGCAAACAAGATGAAAAGACAACCCTCAGAATGGGAGAAAATATCTGCAAACAAATCAATGGACAAAGGATTACTCTCCAAAATATATAAACAGGTCAAGCAGCTCAATAATAAAAAAACAAACAACCCAATCCAAAAATGGGCAGAAGACCTAAATAGACATTTCTCCAAAGAAGACATACACATGGCCAAGAAGCTCAACATCACTAATCATTAGAGAAATGCAAATCAAAACTACAATGAGGTATCACCTTACACCAGTCAGAATGGGTACCATCAGAAAATCTACAAACAAGAAATGCTGAAGAGGGTGTGGAGAAAAGGGAACCCTCTTGCACTGTTGGTGGGAATGTAAATTAGTACAGCCACTATGGAGAACAGTACAGAGGTTCCTTAAAAAACTAAAATTAGAATTACCATATGACCCAGCAATCCCACTACTGGGCATATACCCAGAGAAAAACATAATTCAAAAAGACACATGCACCCCAGTGTTCATTGCAGCACTATTTACAATAGCCAGGTTATGCAAGCAACCTAAGTGTCCATCAACAGATGAATGAATAAAGAAGATATGGTACATATATACAATGGAATATTACTCAGCCATAAAAAGGAATGGAATTGGGTCATTTGTTGAGATGTGGATGGATCTACAGACTGTTTTACAGAGTGAAGTAAGTCAGAAAGAGAAAACAAATATCGTATATCAATGCGTATATATGGAACCTCGAAAAATGGTACAGATGAACCAGTTTGCAGGGCAGAAATAGAGACACAGATGTAGAGAACAAACGTATGGACACCAAGGGGGGAAAGTGGCAGGGGGTGGGGTGGTGGGATGAATTAGGAGATTGGGATTGACATATATACACTAATATGTATAAAATAGATAACTAATAAGAACCTGCTGTATAAATAAATAAATAAAATTAAATTAAAAAAAAAAACTAACAAAAACTTCACTAAGAAAGGAAACTATAAACCAACATCATTCATAAACATAGATGCAAAAGTCCTTAATCTATGAGCAAATTGAATTCGTAAGTGTATTAAAAGGATAATACATAATAACCAAGTAGCGTCTATTCCAAAAATGCAAGATTGATTTACTATTGGAAAATCCAATGTGATATACCATATCACACTACATATTATATAATTCCATTGATATAAGCTTAGTTCTAGAATAGGCAAAACTAATTTGATATGAAATCTAAATCTAATACCAAAAGGAAAAAGGAACAATAGTAGCCTTGGGTGGATGGGAGAGACTGACTGGCACAGGACAGGAAGGAACTTTCTGGAGACTTGAAAATGTTCTATATTGTGATAGAGTTGTGGGTTTTACATGAATATACATGATTGCATTTGCTACATTTCAGTATATATAAACATTACAAAAAAATTTTTTTAAGTAACAATAACAGTGGGAAGATGGGGAATGGGTAGAAGTATATAAAACAGAATTAAGAGAATACTGGTAAGTGCTGAAGCTGGGTGAAGGGTCATGGGAGTTCATTATACTATTCTGTTTGGGGGTTTGCTTTAATTTACATAATAAAAACAAAACAAAACGTAGAGTTTTTAGTTGAGAAGAAGATATATGAGTCAAAATGTTTCGTAGTTCCTCACCATTACCAATAAAAAGTTACTGTAATTTCCTGTTGCAATTAACAGAGGTACAGTCACTAGTAGTACAATGAATAGTACTTGCTTATACTTTGTGTCCAAGCTAAAGCAAAGAGATTGGTTAGGAGGACTTGTTACTACATACTCTATGAATAACTAGTAAAATTTATTAGGAATATGAACTCTCAAGAACTTAATAGCTTGCTTTGAATATCTGAAGCACTACCACTATTTAGTTTGTTCAATCAAGAGCCATAAATAAAAACAGTGGATGGAAGTTTCAGGAACAGTTATCAGCTCTATATTGTTATCATATCTGGCCGTGTCATGCGGCATGCGGGATCTTAGTTCCCCGCCAGGGACTGAACCCGTGCCCCCTGCAGTGGAAGCTCGGAGTCTTAACCACTGGACCAGCAGGAACGTCTGTATTTTCAGCTCTATAGAAAGAACAATGATCTCTCCAAAAAGCAAAGGGGCTGCCTTTGGAGATAACTTCCCTATTTGTGGAAATGTTCAAATATTAGTAGGAGATTTGTACACTGGCAACAATCACAAGAAGAAAACAGCTATTAAGGTTCCTTCTAGTACAGAGATTTTGCAGTTCTCTGAACTATTTTCTCTTCTTTTGATCTAAATTCAAAGAGAGAAGTGCAGGGCTTTGTGGGAATGTCTTTTAAAAAGAATTCACTAGGTGGGTGGGGGGAACTGAGGAGATGCTTAAGGGTACAAACTTGCAACTAGTAGATAAGTCCCAGATATCTAACGTACAACACAGTGATTATAGACAACAATACTGTATTATAAACTTACAAGTTGCTAAGAGACTAAATAAAATAAAATAAAATAATTCAGCCAGAATGCAGTGTCATGATAAAAGCTGTAATACAGCCACAAACCCCAAACTTAGTATTCTGGCATATATGGTTATGAATAGCATGCATAAAAATTTTTGGAAATTATCACAAAAATGAATGGTCTTAGATTTCTGGGCTGACCTGAAAATTTCTAGATTAATCTTTCTTGTTAAAGTAATAAGACAAATTATAAAATCAATCACAACATGCAGCCCTGACCCAGGTACTGTGTCTTCTTTCCTCAAAGAATACTGATTATTGTGGGCCCTTCTCTGATTTAAGTACTGTGGAGAAATTAAAGTATAAGACACAAACCTTATCCCAAGGAAAATTACAATTTAACTACAAAGGTACAAACCATCACCACACAGCGATACTTGGTTAAGTGCCAGAAGAGAGTACAGATAAGACGTACTGTGAAATGGAAAGAACATTCTACTGGGGGTGGTTTCAGCAGGCTGCCTTGAGGTTAAGGAACTCAGAATGAAAGAATTTAGACAGAAATAAAAATGTAATGGGAGGGAGGCAGGCACTTCCAGGACAGGAGAACAGGGTAAAGCAAGCAATGTGATGAAGTAACTTGAAAATCAACCTGAATTTTGTCTCCAGAGAATCCCCAGTATCCTCTCAATGCCTTTGTCTAGCTCTCCTATCAATTTCTTCTCAAACCTTTAGATCAGTGGTTCCCAAAGTGAGGTCCTTGGACAAGCAGCATCATCAACTATCTGGGAACTTCAACTGCAAATTCTGAGGCCCCATCCCAGATCTAATGAGTCAGAAGTGGGCAGAGGGAGGGAATGGAGCGGCAATCTGTGTTTGAACAAGTCTTTCAGGTGATTCTGACGGCCCGTTCAAGTTTGAAAACGATTGCTCTAGGACTACCTGATAAGCACAACCCTCCGCGCAGGACCTGATGACGTTCTGAGCGCCTAACTGAGCCACTTTGCTGGGTGCAGGAAGGGAGTTGATACCAGGTCCCAGCCCTCTAAGAGTTCAGTCTCTGGCCCAATCTCGCTTTCTCCTCCAGTACCGCTTGTTCCAATCACCATCCTCTATGCCATCGCCTCCCGTATTACTTTACCCTCACAGGGCCCCTCTGTCGCCCTACCTCAGACTCAGAGGGGACGTGGTGCCGGCAGGGAGAAGAATTGCCCAAGGAGACAGGAATAGATGTAGCGCTTGCCCAGAGCCCGCCCAACAGGAGTAAAACGCCTCGGACCCATAAAGAACCGCTCCAGTGCCACCGGCTCGGGCCCCGGCCTGAAGCTGAGGAGCCCGCTCTTCCACCCGTCTCGGCCGCCATCTTCAGGCCGAGCGTCGTTACCATGGAGTACGTGACGCCTCCGCGCCCAGCGCCAGCCCCGCCCCTCGCCTCTCGAGGCAGGTGGAGGGACTTGGCGGTGGAAAGGTGCTTTTTGATTGGCTAGCGTCACCCATAAGAAGTTCACCGCGGAAGACGCTGAGTTGCATCACGTCCATCGCGTCTCATTCGCGCGAAACCAGCCAATAAAAGCCACTTGGCGGCCCACGTGAGCTGAGCTGTGGGAAGACTAGTGGGTGCTGTTGGTAATGGGATGTTGATACGTCGGTGTCCTTACTGAGGCAGTTTTTCACTTTTTAATTCAGTTATTCACCGAAAAGATATGCACTTACTAGGTGCCAGGTGCTTAGACACATGCAAAATCTTTTATGGTTAGCTCTCTGTATAAAAGGTAAGTGGAATGTAATTTTCATTTCTACTTATCCTGAGTCACCAATTCTAGACCTACTTTTTAAAAAAATTTTAGTTGATTTACAATATCGTGTTAGACCCACTTAATGAAAGTCATTTTCTGTAAAATCAAATGTGTTCTTTACTATTCAAGCCCATCCCTTAACTTCTATGAATGTAAGAATTGCAACTGCATTAACCCCGGAGACTAGGTAGATCTTTGCCATTAAGGCAACTACCTTAAAAATTGAGCCGTGAGGAACTATAAGAAATTGTTAAGTTGGGACAAATCTTGTGGCCCACAAAACAAAGAATTAAAACCAGGGACTCAAAGCACCGAGCTGTAACAGTCATTTCAGGAACTGAATATTGTAAATTACTATGCTAGGAACTGTAGTAGAAAAAAAAAAAGGACAGAAAATCCCCAGGAATTTACAATTCATTGGTGAAGACAATGTACTTTAAAGAAAAAATGGTTGGGGCATTTTACCAGTAGACTCATTAGATGTGTCTATCATCCCACAACTAGTGGAAGCTGGGATTTCAAACAAAATATATCACTTTATAACGTACTCTCTACACAAAACCACAAAGAAATTGCGGATTGTGAGTACAGAATGATACCGGTCATCTCAGTTTCCTAGCGGTAAAGGCAGTGTCATGCTGGTGGAGGGGCAGTTTCAATAGTCTAAAGGACAAGCTGCTAGCCGTTTTAAGTTCATTTCTGTGAAACATTCAACTCCTCCAATGTAGCTTTGGCTTGAGGACTGCCTTTGCACTGACCAAACCTCGCTATGGGTTCAGAAAAGCGTAATACAGGCTCTCACTCCCCGCCCCCAACCGTCTCCTAGTCCCCCAACTTTGTAAATGCACTGTTACCCGCTCAGCAACCAAAGCTAGGAAGTTAGTTTTGAAGACTCCTCTCTACAATCAATTGGTTTTAACATTCGGTTAATGTTTAGTCTGCTCTATTAAAGTACTCAAATATCTCAGTTAAGACTGCAAAGCCTACCTGGTTTTCCCTTCCTTCAGTTTATGCTGGGTTGCCACAGGGATCTTTCTAAAATATGAATCTTGTCACCTGTCACTCAAGCTCTCCAGTGACACTCTAATACAAGAATATTGTTAGAACTTCCCTGGCAGTACAGTGGTTAAGACTCAGTGTTTCCAATGCAGGGGGGAAGGGTTCCATCCCTGGTCGGGGAACTAAGATCTCCGACATGTCATGGGCAGTGTAGCCAAAAAAATAAAAATAAAGACTAGGGCTTCCCTGGTGGCGCAGTGGTTGAGAATCTGCCTGCCGATGCAGGGGATGCGGGTTCGTGCCCCGGTCCGGGAAGATCCCACATGCCGCGGAGCGGCTGGGCCCGTGAGCCATGGCCGCTGAGCCTGTGCATCCGGAGCCTGTGCTCCGCAACGGGAGAGGCCACAACAGTGAGAGGCCCACGTACTGCTAAAAAGAAAAAAAGACTATTGTCTAAAATCCTGGCACCTGGTAGTTTTCTAGACTTACCTTCCAATTACTTCCAATTGGTTTCAGTCACACTACATAACCCAGTTAAATTGTTCAAGTGCCTTCTGGTTTCGCAATGTTTGTGCCATTTCCCTTTTCTGAAGTACCACCCCCAAGCATCTCTTCCTCTATTCGAAGATTCCCAAGAGTACAGCTATTTAACTGGCACAACAAAGTAGTTAACCTTTAGTTTATGTTGGCTGTTTTTTTTTAAATTATGTTTTGGCTCCGTTGGGTCTTTGTTGCTGCTCACAGTCTTTCTCTAGTTGCAGTGTGCGGTCTTCTCATTGTGGTGGCTTCTCTTGTTGCGGAGCATGAGCTCTAGGCGCACGGGCTTCAGCAGTTGTGGCACACGGGCTTAGTTGCTCCGCAGCATATGGGATCTTCCCGATCCAGGGCTTGAACCCATGTCCCCTGCACAGGTAGTCTTAACCACTGTGCAACCAGAGAAGCACCACCACCCCCCTTATTTTTTAATATGTCTTTTGGTTGTGTCGGGTCTTAATGCAGGCTCTTCCTTGTGGTGCACAGGCTTCTCTCTAGTTGTGGCACGCGAGCTTACTTGCCCCGCGGCATGTGTGATCTTAGTTCCGCAACCAGGGATCAAACCTGCATCCCCTGCATTGGTAGGTGTATTCCTTACCACTGGACCATCAGGGAAGTCCCCTAACCAAATTTCAAGTTGTGGGGCCATGAAATGAACTGCTTAGATCCCACGAAGAGAGCATAATTGACCAATGACTCCAAGCTGCTTCTCCTTACCATCCACCTCGTTTGTCTTGAGGCCATGGCTCCTGAGGGTTGCTGCCAGACGAATAAGACTGGCAGTACAAACACAAGCCCCTTTTCGGTGACTTCCAACAGCAATTTTGGCTTCAGGGCCACCATTAAACTAAGCAAACCGTAGAACTGCTGCACGCCTTCATGCTAATAATTTTTTAGAATCTGCTTCTTAGAGAAAACAAATACAATTAAAATCTGTTAAAAGGGGTGCTGTTTGGTAAACTCCCAGTTTTCTGTTGGTATTTTCAGTGGAATGTCAAGATCTGTTGGTTAATAAAAGGAGTACCTGCTACTGCATCAAACACCTAAATCCACCATACTCGAACTGATGCCTTGGTTCAAACTTGTATTCAGCACATTGAGATTTAAAAATATTCTGCAGCCCTGCTTAGTTGCCTTTGTATCATGCCAAAACGTCTCAATCCTGCACTTTACTATTAAAACATGGAGTAAAGGACAGCAACCCTGTCCAGGCAATCCTGACCACCCCCCACCAAGATTTTTTAAGGTATGTGGCAATTTAGGGACACTTTCAACTGAGACATTATTTCCAGTCAAGTGTTATATACTGGATGCTTTGTCCAGTCACAAATCCCAAGGATATCTCATCTAAATGAGCTGCCAAATACCATCAATATAATGCTCATTCAAATTTCTCCCAACTACCATTTTTAAGCCCCAAGTTTCCCAACCAATCTATATTAAGCAAGTGCATGCTACTACAAGGTACTTTAGGAAGTTAAGATATTTTCAGTTTCTTTCAATTTAATGAGGGAGGCAGTTACCAGTACCATAGCTGAAATAAGGGGAAAAGTTATAGATCCATTTGATGTGGAAATCTGGAAAAATTTCATGGTGTATATCAATACTGGCTAAAAACTGACTTCTATCCTTCCTGCGGGTATCTCCACTTGTCCAAAAACTTTTCATAGGCTAGGTTCCAGCACTCCATCACTGTAAACCTTCCAAGATACTCCTTTCCACCGTCCCCAAATAAAGCTTACTTGTAACCTTCCCCCCAACATTTAAGGTCTTATATTCAGATACATCCTATCCTCATCAAAACCCTCCTGTTGTCTAAATCTCTGTAATTGCCATATTCTCTGGGCTCCCGTATACTCTGAAAATGCCCGATAACCACCACCATTTAAGCACTTCGCAACTGAATTCAGGGCAAAGAATTTTTCAGGCCGTGTTAACAAAAATACAAGGGAACAAATCCACACTTTTATTTATTTACTTTTCAGTAAGTTTAAATCCTTGAAGGGTACAGCATCTGGTGTGGGGGGAAAGAACATAATGTCATTAAGTGCATGTTATATACAAACAGTTATTGAATACCACATGAATAAATCTCCCATTGTCCCATTACCCATCTCTGAAAGGCACCCAATGACTTATAGCCTACTGGGAAGGGAACTAAATTTTTAGAGCCTTCAGTTTCTAGGTGAACATTCTTTAACTAAGAACCAGTACTGGGAACCTGAGAGTCCATTTAATTTTGCTTCCTCTAATGATAGTAAAAACCTCCTCTGATGAGAAATCTCAACTGCTCAGCAGGGTTCAAAAGTACCCTGTGACCCCAAGGATGTAGCCATGTCTATTAAAAATAGATCCTAGGGCTTCCCTGGTGGCGCAGTGGTTGAGAGTCCGCCTGCCGATGCAGGGGACACGGGTTCGTGCCCCAGTCCGGGAAGATCCTGCATACCGCGGAGCGGCGAGGCCCGTGAGCCATGGCCGCTGAGTCTGCGCGTCCGGAGCCTGTGCTCCGCAAAGGGAGAGGCCACAACAGTGAGAGGCCCGCGTACCGCAAAATAAAATAAAATAAAATAAAATAAAAATGGATCCTAACTGAAAAAAACAGGAGCTATCCTGTTAAAAATATCACAGAATCTGTAGTTGAAGTCCTGGGACATGAGCATTGGTTTTCCTCTATAAAATAAAACTAATACCTATTTGAACAAGACTGTCATGATGAAGAGATCGGAAATATTAATTATGCCAGGAAAAGGTATGCTGAATTTTTATTTTCTAGCAATTACTTCAGAGCCCAATAAATATATTTGCCATAAAATTGTTCATTTAAATAGGTGACCCTCGAACAACACAAGTTTGAATTGTGCGGGTCCACTTATATACAGATTTTTTTTCAGTAAATGCATACTGCACAATCCGCAGTTGACTGAATCCACAGATGAAGAGGCCAACTGTAAAGTTGTACGTGGATTTCTCACAGTGCCCCTAACCTCTGCGTTGTTCAAGGGTCAACTGTGCTATTCCCCACCACCCCCAGGCAGCTTTAGCAATTACCTGAAATCTAGGCATAATCCATTTGAACCCTTTGCC